TATTAGACTAGGGCTAGAGTTGAGGGGTGTAATATGCACTTCTCTTTTTTTGGAATCATATTTGAATGTAGTTTTTAAATGTATTATTTTGCTACATATAACTTATAGTTTACTAGCATAATGCCCATACGTTGCTACGAAGCCATAAAAAAGACAACTTGGAGATCATCAAAGGATGATGGTGTATTGGGCTTTACATGGTTCATGATTGGAAAGAGAGCAAAACTGATCGTGGAGTGAGTCAAGCTTTATTTATTTTTTGGTGCGCAACACCTCCCCCTCCCCTGCCTCCCGGGTCGCACGCACGTCCGGCTCCGGGGGCTTCCCCAAACCCTAGGTCCAGCAGCCCCCAAATCCGCTCCCCCGGCAGCTCACTCTGTGCATATGAAAACTGAACCGAAAAACCATGCCGAAAATAAAAACCGAACCAAATAAATTTTACGGTTTTTATGGTTTCTGGTTTTTGTATGGTATGAACTTTTCATACCGATTTGAACTTTGATTTTTATGGTATATACCGAAAAACCGAATAGTTAACCGAATAAATCGAAGTAAAAAATAAATTTATATTTCTTGAGATGAACAACCATACAAGTTGTCATTTTTCTTGTACATGAGTCAAATTCCCTACTAAGCACATAATTTTTCTTGTAAGATAGTCATTGTTCTTCTTTTAAAATGCTAAGTACGTCCATAACCATCAATAGATGAATCAGTGCGTGCATATTTACTTACATATATAGTTATATAGTATTTGTGTAAAAGAAATATGTGTTTTGAGTCATAAATTTGCAAATTATTATTATGTCTTTTCAAATTCGCGTCAACTTTGGTTATTATGGTATATATCGAAACCATATCGAAATAATTTGGTATATACCAAAACCGAACAGTATTTTAATTTCATACCGTATTTACCGAAGTATTGATACCGTACAAACCGAAAAACCGTATAAACCAAACCATGTAAACCGAAGAAACCGAACGCACAGAGTGACCAGCAGCTGCCGCCGCCGGCGCTGGCGGTGGCGGCCGCGCCCGGCCGTCAAAGGCGGCGGGTGCTGGCGGTGCCCCTCGACGGTCTCCCTTCACGCGGAGTGGGTCGTCCCCTAGGCAGCCATGGTGGTGGGGGTGACCGGCGGCGTGTCCCGTGGTGTTGGTCGCCCGTGCACGGCAGGGCGGTGGATCCAGGCGTGGTGTGCTGCAGGGTGGCGGATGTGGGTGGTGCGCCAGCTGCTGGTGGCGGCGGCGCAAGCCCAACCACAGAGGCGCCGCAGCCAAGGAGGCCCACCCAAGAAGGATCTTGGCGGGCAGTGGGTTGCTGCCTGCCTCCGTGTGAGGGGCGCGGTGTTGCCTCGAGAGGTCTAGCGCTGGGGTGTGCGTGGAGGTGTTGGTCAGATCTGATTCGGTGGCAGTCCCCTAGTGTGGCTGAAGGCCGAAGCGGCAGATTTGGGGCATGGTTGGTAGCGGCTGCTCCTCGTCCGAGTTGGTGGTGGTCTGGGCCACGTTCTCTCGGCAGTGCAGGTGGGGAGACCCATTGCAGCGCAGCTTCGACGGCAATTAGCTGTGGTGACAGCGGTGTGAGGCATCTCGGACAATGATGGTCGAAACCTGCAAGGTGTGGAGATGCGCACCATTACGGATGAAAATCCTGCTCGGTTTTGTCCAAGCCGGCGGCGATGGCACCTGTGGGTGTCATTCCCCTCCCTGGAGGCGTCGTCGAGCTAGTGTGTCATCATTCCCCTCGCTTCTTTGGTGTTGGCAGTTGTCTCCGGGCGAAAGCCTCGATTCGGTGTTGGATCGGTATGATGGTGGCGTCTTCAACGTCGTGCCTCTGTTGGAGCATCGTGCTAGGAGACATGGAGTTCCTAGGTTGCGGTCCTCCGGTGTTCGTCGCTGCCTTGATCGTTCTTCTCTGATGCTATGTATGGTCGTCATTGGCGACTCCAACACGGTGTCTTCCCCGGGCTGTATCGATTTCTGCCATCCTCTCGCCACCTCCTAGGCTTCTAGGGGGATGGTGCGTCGACTTGAGATGCTTGGCGGGAGATGATGTTCTTTGGTGGTGATGACGTCGACAGAGACGCGGCTAGGTGCTTGATTTTGGGTAGGCCTTTTGTGTTGTGGCCATATTGTAATGGGTGGCTGTCCTTGGACTAGCCGGATGTGGAGTTGTGCCATGCTTGTTGTTCGCAACGAGTGGTAGTCATCTTGTACTTGCAATTTTCTTCTTCTATAAAGCTAACGTACGCAATTTGCGTACTCTCGAAAAAAAAAGAGCAAAACTGTAACGAAAGATCATGTTGCAGAAAAATCTTAAGCAACCATAATAGGTACTTGGCAAGATTTAGTAAGATAACATTTTGAATTTTGAAGCATAGGAGAACGGGCATGAGTAAGTTGAATGCACAAGATCATAAAATTGCAATCTGTTTGCTCTCTTCTACTATGATATAAAGCTGGAAGAATTCATTGGGCAAAGAAACTAAAATCAATAGTAGAAGAGATGTATCATAGTAGTCAGCAATACATCCCTATTGCTGGGAGACAATGTGTCATAGATGTATCATAGTAGTCAGCAATAGGGATATAAAGCTATGATATAAAGCCGGAAGAATTCATTGGGCAAAGAAACTAAAATCAAAACCATACTTGCATTTAGAATTTGTCTTTTTGCGAGAGTGTTATTCTCACATAGGGATGTATTGCCGACTACAATAGGTAAATGATGTTCAGCATGGAAAACTTGACTCCCCTAAACTTTAAAATTTGAGAAATTAAAGTTACGAAAAACTTGACTCCCCCAAAACATTCAAATTTGAGGAACTAAAATTCTGCACCTAGTGCTTCCCTTAAACTTAACTCTCAATAGAGTTGGGCCCCATGTGCAAGCCTCATTTCCTCTCCCTTTCTCCAAATCCACTCTATTTCTCTGCCAACTATGACTTCTACCGAAAAAGGCTTTCGCCCCGCTTTATATATAAAGCAACGACCAACAACAATCCGGTACAAACGCACGCCACCACAACACACGCACACACCCGAGGCAAGATACATAAGCGCTGAGCGCAGCAACACCATCCCAAGCACTACAAGAGCAGCCGGGTCCTCGATCGTGAACACGTCACCGCAAAGAGATGAAGCCGCATATGACGAACCGTGGGCTCCAAGGCGGTGCCAACTATGACTTCTGGCCAGTGGATGATGTGCATGAGATCGCTAGGACCTTCGATAGATGTTGTACCTAAGTGATTTGATAGAGTCTCACTGAGCGCGATGTACCAAGTACGAGGAAGGTGTCGAGAAAGTCGTCCTCCACGGGCAACGGTTTGGCCATTTCTTCGTATGAATGAGTTCTCCTCCATTCTCCTGGTGGCACGATGGTGTGGTATGAGACGACCTGATTTGTCGAACTTGGCGACGACAACCAGCAACGGTGCTTTTAGGTGGTTGCGGGCTTCTTCTCATCGTTGGCTGCAAGTGGCAGGGGTGGCGGCCGACGGTGCTGGTTTTGTGTGGCTAGGCATCCATCTTCCGCGACCCCACACGAACCAGGGATAGAAACGAGAGAGGCAAAGCATCCAGCCCCACAGGCGAAGGTTGGCGCGATGGGTGGACGCCGCCGTAACATGAGGCGGCAAGGCTAATAAGGTGGCGCTCGGAGAAACTGGCTGAGGAGGAGAGAGCGGTGGGAGGAGGGAGAGCTCAGTGAAAATGCATTTTAGTTGAAATTGTGGTTGAATTTGTCGAGTTTAGTTGTAATTTGTCCAGTTTAGCTGTAATATGAGGAAAATCCAGGTGTAAAACCGGCGAGACACGCTTTGACCCAGAAGGGCGAGATCTGGACGCCCTCGGGAAGAAGCGACGCACATTCCCTGCGGTGAAAAGCAGCTCTCGCCGCACGCAGCTCACTTCCATGTTCCATCTCATCTCGCCCCTCCCTTTCCACCATCTCCAGTAAGTTTGGGCCTCGCTTTCCTTCCCGACCCGACCCAGCTCGCAATCGCAAGCCACACGCATCGGGTTTCCCTCAGCGCAGCGATCTCACCTCCCTGACCCGCTCCCTCCTCCCGCGTCACGTGTCCTCACAGCTCACCCCGCCGGCGGCCGGCCGCAGCGGCGCGCCCCCGACCCCCGACCCCCGACCAGGCGGAGCGCGGCCAGGGCAGGCGAGATGGTCTTCGTCTGGCTCGCCGCCTTCTTCCTCGTCGTCACGCTCATCGTGCTCGTCATCTTCCAGGTGAGCGCCCCCCCGCCCCGCCTCGTCTCCGCTCGCGGTCGGCTCCCCTGGGCCCCGGCGCGATCTCGCCTTGTCGTCTGTTAGCCCCCTGGCGACTCTGCCGAGATTTTGGGAAGGGGTGGGCGGCGGATTCACGCCTTCTCCCAGCCGAATTCTCCGGCGATCCGGGGTTTGGAGAGGGGCTTTCTAACCCCGGATTGCGGATTTGGAGCTTCTGGTTGGCTCGCTGGATAGCGCAGGAGCGCCAGGGGATTGGGTGCTGCTGCGTGTCCTGCTCCTGGTGCTGGTTCCTGCGCGGTGTCTGCGTCCAGATCTCCACATGTTCGTCCTGCGTTAGCCTGCAGTAACCCAGAATTAACGCCCGGCAACCGTCGTTTCTAGTCTTGCAGCTCTGAAAATCTCAGTTTCAGTTCTGAAAGTCGATTTCATTTGTTTTGTTGGTAGACGCAGTAGGTGCTCCGTTAGGTATTTAGCACACAGTATGTTCAGTAAAAAAAAAGAATTGATCTTTATAAGGTCGTACTGACGATTTTGTTGTGGTGCCGTTTGTTCACCAAATGTGCAATCAAGCTCTTGTCCCAGTTTGGTAGGGCTATACGAGTTCCACCCTCTATCCTGCTACTTGTTAGTCTATCATGATACCTCTAGAGATCAGATCAGGTAGTGGATGGTTATCAACTTAGAATATCTTTGCAGCTTGCTTGATGTGAAACATTCCGTGTTCAAGTGCCTGATCTTTGCCCTTAGATTGGGTGAGGTATCTAGCTTTTCTACTGCCTTTTCCCAAACCTTCTCTTTTTGTCACTGTATACTTTTCCCGGCTCCATTTTCTGCCTTCCTTTATCTAGCTTTTGTTACTGTATCCTTTTGTTGGTTCTAGCTGCAACTTATTCTGTGCTTAGATGCGCCCTTCATGGGAGATGAACGTTTTCAGCAAACTAGTTTTGATTTTCTTGTAGGACAAAGGGAAAATCGTTGATATATATCTCCATTGATTTTGATTGCCGAGTTGTTTTGGCATTTAGTATTTCCTAATGTTCCTGATTAAACATAGAACCTGACTACTTTTGTTTCATGTGAAGTGGATCGTTCATCCTTGCTTATATTGCTTTCAGTGGAATCTGCATGGCTCATTACTCATGTTTAACGTTTTAATCAACAACATTCATAATAAGTAAGCTTGGCCAGAAAGTTATTCTTGCTCCTGACGATGTGTGTTTCTTTTACAGTTGATGTGCTTGGCAGATCTGGAGTTCGATTATATCAACCCGTTTGATTCATCCTCTCGAATCAATAAAGTGGTTATGCCAGAATTTATAGTGCAAGCACTTCTAAGTGCATTATTCCTCTTATCTGGGCACTGGGCGATGTTTCTGCTTTCTGCCCCAATGGTGTACTATAATTATACATTGTAAGTGACTCTTGTCTTCTGTTTGCCTTACAATTTTTTAAACAACTGATATGTTTCCTCCAGGCTGTGGTCAGTATATTGTTTATTGAACACTAGCTGCTACATAACGTACCATGCATAGTTTAACAAATTAACTGGAAGTTCGAAATAGTAATATGCTTCAACTGAACACTGATACATCTATTTTATATTTCTATGTGCTGTTAGACTGTTAGCTTTGATAGAAATATTTAGTGATAAGGACCCAAGTCTTCTCCTGCTTCAGTCTTTTGTACTTTACACATAATGTTCTGAAGGTGTTTTCATGATCTAAGTTCTTGGAAATTATTTTATTTTTCCTATGATATTTGGATGCACCTAAGTGCTGTGCCTGTGCTACAATATCGTCATGTTAGTTGGTGTGAAAATCTATGAAGGGTAGATTTATTTAATGGGCTTGCAAATATGGCGTCACTAGTTGGAATCAAGCAGCTAGTCATATACAGCTGCAAATTATACCTAACCTAAAATTGGCAATACATGCTCTGCAGCGAAGTTAAGAACATGACCTGCACCCTTAAAATTCTGATTTTGTCTCCATATATATATTGACTTTGGGACTTCAGGGCACTGACCTGCTGTCAGATTAAGGTCATTCACACACTTACTGTTTGTACTATCTGAATAACTTCTTTACAACAGAACATGGTGTCACACATAACCCTACTAAATCCGTTTTTGAACTAATAATTAGCTCTACTTGGTTGGGATGTACTCACTTCAAGTTTTGCATGCGCCTTTCTTGGTTTTATATGTTGCGAATAAGTGTAACCTTTTTTGTCTTTGCAGGTACGAGCGGCGGCAGCATCTTGTAGATGTGACAGAGATATTTAACCATCTTTCACGGGAGAAGAAGCGCCGTCTTTTTAAGATAGCTGCTCTTATCGTCCTCCTATTCTTGTCCTTGTTCTGGTAAACATAGCATATACCTGCATTATTTGCTATTCACTGCAAGTCTGCAACCAGCAAAGAAGGAAAATAACCGCCTCTTGTTTCTGTGCTTGTCTGCAGGATGATTTGGAGTGTACTGGAGGAGCACGAGTAGAATGAGAGAAAACACTGTGATTGTGATAGCTCAACCTGGTTCTGCAGCCGTTAGTTAGGTATTACGACGTGGTCCTCGTGGCCTGCTGAACACCTACTCCGATGCCGTTATTGTTCATATGAAAGCCCTTTTGGATAAATTTAGGGTGTCATGGAGAAACGATGCAAGCAGAAGGGCGAAGACTACGTGTCCGAGGTGCTGTTTGTTGCTCGCGCCTAGTGTGAAATCTCCTGCTGTTGTAGCGTGTAACATAACATGTAAGTTAGGAGCCACTCCCTCCTGTTTATTTGATCGTGCATCCGTTCATATGGGGCAAAGTAACTGCTGCGCCCAACTGTGCATGGTTTTATTATGACCGACATTCTGTGTTTTGTGTTGCGTTGCACCGTTAAATGCTGTCGATTATGTTGATCCTGTGGTCGATTTGTGTAGTAGTTGATTTATGGGTATCCAAGCAGAGTAGGCATTTCAGTTTGGAGTGCAATCAGGAGTGCTCGGTCTATGTTTCAGTTGATTCATCAGTACCAAGTGGTATAGATTTTCATTTATGGATGCATTTTGTTTCAGTTTATTGATAAGTACTGTAGTATACAGTAGCAAGTAGTACAAGGTTTGTCGGAAAATACACAGGGGCTCCCAATCTGAAATTTGGGGATATCAAACTGGAGTCCGCAATCTACTCCTGTGTGAAGTTTCGTGAAAAAAATACCCCTGTGCAAATAAAAATCCATCCAATCATTTTCTTCTATAAATAGATTTTTTCTGTGTTTTTTGCCATGTTTCTTGACATTTTTTCATGAAATTTCAAATTAGATCAGAAACCCAAGTTTAATCTAAAAATCCCATATTTTTTTTCAAATTTCTCGGTATTTTTTTGAACTTAATGTAGCACCCATGTTCGTGGTGTTATCCTCTGCGCATAAACAAGGTTCGTGGTGTTATCCTCCGAGCATAAATAATTAGCTGAACTTGTCAGAAGAGTAGAAACTGTTTTATTTAAGAGGAATGAAAACACACCGCTAATCTGCCCATCGGCAGAACAGGAAAACCGTATGAGTAATGACAAGAGCAGTAATAATAGAAAAGAAGCCTCTGAACACAGAACATGTAGCATGTGGAAACTGGAAAGATAACTATGGCGTCGCCACTGTAACCCTGAACTTCATGCCGCCCATATGTATACCTGGTTGTATTTGGCCAGACGCTCGGACCTGCAGGGAGCTCCAGTCTTGATCTGGCCCTGCAACAAGCAAGCGGAGAAAGATATGACCATGGTGTCACCCAATGCAGTAAAAAGTGTAAGGATTTGAAGCTCTGTTTCAGCCGAAGGCGTGGCCAGGCCGACCGAGAGGTCGGCGATGAAGGTGTCCTCTGTCTCACCACTGCAGAGAGCAGAAAATAATGTTCAGTGCAAACGGATCATATCACAATTGCAAAACCCTTTCGCCAAGAGTGGGTTGAGAAGCTTTGCAAATTTGCAGCGCTTATTACCTCCTGTGGCTCGCCATCACTCCCCACCCGGCGCGCTTCGACATGCTCACGGCCTCGATGCTCTCAGTCACCGAGCCTATCTGATTCACCTGTTCATTCCATATAAACAAAAGTGCTATTATTAGCATTATGGTTCTTTAAGAAAAGTGCTATTATTAGCATTATGCTACCTTGAGGAGAAGGGTATCTGCAATTGCACAAAGGGCAGTTGAGCATTATGAGAACAGGGGAGCAAGGTGGAGGTCTTACATCCTCCTTGAAATTCAGGTCATAGGTCTGGTCCTTCTCGCTGTAGAATTCAGAAGCAGCAACATCCATTCCAATGACCACCTGCCACACGTACATAAATTCAATGTTATACAAGAATAAATAAATCTAATGGCTGAAACATGACCTAAGCAAAGAGGGAAAAAAAATACCTTTCCAGTGTAGCCAGCCTTGGCTATAGCTGCCTTCAACAGTTCCAGGCCCTCCTTGTTTTCCTGAATATATATGTGACGTTAGAAAATCGTATGTCAGCATTTGGATTCATCGTATTCGTCAGCTTCCTACCGGTGCCTACAACTTGTTTTACTCCCTCCGTCCCAAAATTCTTGTCTTAGATTTATCTAAATATAGATGTACCGTATTTAGATAAATCTAAGACAAGAATTTTGGGACGGAGGGAGTACTATGTAGTCTGTACTCAGCTTCCTACCAGTGTCTACAACTTATTGATACAAGAGAGAAACAAGTGGGTCTGTCTTACCTGAATGTTAGGTGCAAAGCCACCTTCATCCCCAACGTTTGTAGCGTCTTGGCCATACTTCTTCTTGATTATGCTCTGCATACAAAATATATCAGCATTCATCCCAACTGCAAATTTTCTGAAGTTCAGGGACATGATCAAAAGGGTTAGATGTTGCGTTCACCTTGAGGTGGTGGTACACCTCAACTCCCATCTTCATGGCCTCCTTGAACGAGGCGGCGCCGGTCGGAAGGATCATGAACTCCTGTGTGTACACCAATTACATGAGAATCATCACATTTATCTGAAACATGTTCTGAAAATTCCATTTATTCATCCATGACCCGCAACTCCAAGCAGTATCCTTACCTGCATGGCGAGCTTGTTCCCGGCGTGAGAGCCTCCGTTGATCACATTGAAAGCAGGCACGGGCAGCACGAGGGTCTTGTTCCCCGCAAGGTTTGCAATGTGCTGCAAACAGATGACACTAACAGCTTCAGTATACTACATCATCTAGTAATTCAACTGATGGCTTGTGTAGGTGGTTGAGTTTTCGCAGACCTGGTAAAGAGGGATCTTGTTGACCATGGCACCGGCCTTGCACACCGCGAGCGACACCGCGAGGATGGCGTTTGCCCCGAGCTTTTCATCGCATCCAAAGGAAAGAAATTTAAATCAGTATGAAAAGTGAACATGTTTTTTGAGAACTTATGCAGTGTCAGAATGAATAATCATTCGATGATGACGTATACCTTTTGTTTGCACCAGCCCCACTCGTTGGAGGTCCCGTCGAGCTGCTGGACCATGAAGTTGTCGATGTCGGTCTGCTCCGTCGGGTCCTTCCCGATCAGCGCCGGCCCGATGATGGCGTTTACGTTGTTCACCGCCTGAAATTCAGAGATGTCAGCGTCGCTCAAGTATATATGCAGTAACTGTGACTGGTGAACGACTAACCTTGAGGACACCTTTGCCGAGGTAATCAGAGCCCCCGTCCCTCGTAGATCCAAGGCTTCCGTCACTGAGGCCAATATCCACCTGAACCCAGATCAGTTAGTTTCAGAGAAACAGGGGAAGGAACGTGTTCAGAACAGAACAAATAGCGATGAATTCTTGCTGGGTACCTCGACGGTTGGAAGATCTGCCGCGCCTTCACCGACTGGATCGTCGTCGCCGCCGCCATGGATGCTGTCTCAAAACCTTGGATTCGCGTACGTGTCTGTTCGTTTATGGCTGTCTGTATGCGCTTGCACTTGAGGCGGGGTGGTCTGGCCTGGCTACTTGTAGTCGGATCCGGCTTGCCTTGCCTGCTCCCTTCCCATGCTCCCATCTGTGCTCTCACTTCATCCTACGGCTGTTATTTTTTCTTTTTTTTTCTAATCTAATCATCTCTTGTAGTCGGGGTGAAGTGGCGGTGTCGGGGCCCACTTGCCAGCGTTTCGCCGGACCTGTGGTCGGTGCACGTGTCTTGCCTGGGTTTGGTTGCTTGGAGGAGGGGGCAATACAGAATGGACTTGGGAATTAAGTTAGGGGTACATACGCATGTCTGCTTGATTTCCAAGCCCGCGGTTATTTTTTTCCCCGGACAGGTTTGGCATTCACGCTGCGATTCTGTCGTGTTCAACAAGTCTACGATGATTCTGCTACCACTTATTTTGACGGGTAATTCTACTGCTACTTTGCATGAGTGCCTTGCAGAAAAGGAGCTGCCCTAAAAATGCCGTGGTAATATATTTTTTGCGAGAAAACTTTCATTCTATTAATTAACTGTCAAGATAGTACAAAAAACACCAGCAGTATGAATTACATCCAAGTCAGTAGACCACACAGTGACACAAGCACGGGAAGCGAGCCGAAGGGGCGCCACCGTTATCATCCCTCCCTCATCCTAGCCGAACAAACATTTTTTTGTAGTAGACAATCGGCACGTTGTCGTGTTAAGGCCCCATAGGACCAGCACGCTAGAACGACAACCACCGCCGATAAAGAAAAGCATAGATCGGAAGGATCCAACCTGCAGCGACATAGACTAACGAAGACCGGATCCACCAAAGACACACGCCGACCGTATCACATGAGATCCGCCGGAGGCACACCTCCGCACGCCCTTCGGTGACGCTACAAACATCGCTGGGACTAAACAACGAGCTCAGCGATGCAGAGGCCGGGGGGCAATCTCCTTTTTGTAAAAAGGTGAAACCATTTTCATTTCAATTTGTTTTCGGGTGCAAAAGGATGGAAGATATGTTGTATTACTTCCATCCCAAATTACTTGAGTTAGATTTGTCTAAATATGGCTGTATTTAAACATGTCTATATACAGCTGTATTTAAACAAATCAAAGACAAGTAATTCGGAACGGAAGGGTTATTTAGATGTGTGAACTTTTTAGCGAGGTGGGGCACTATGGTTAGGTCGGGTTAGGCGGCTCAGTTCTCTTGGAAGTTAATGAAAGCGAGGCCAAGAGAAACTTGCACTCCTCTGCCGCGGTGAGCCAATGAGGAGTGCAACTCTGTGGGAAGTACGTACGTAGCTGGTAATAATCAACCTCTACTTTCATCGTAGGGCCGGAATCTCGAACCTTGGTCCGGACAGATACATCGGGTGACTGTGACACACAAACTTGAGGCTTATACTAAAAAAATATAGTAAAAACCAAGTGGTGTGTGTAGTAGTGTTCCTGATGAAAAGTCAAGACGATATGCTCTCCTCATTTCTTTTCCGTTTTTGCCATTATGTGCAGCAGTAGCGTTCCTGATGAAGTTTTTCCTCTGGTTTCCGCTGCTGTCGAAAACCGTTTCCCCCTTTACTATCTCTCTTGCCCAAGGACTGGAACAGAGGAAAATTCCATCAGTGAGCAGATGCTCTGTATGCAGATATATAGATGCCGACTTCAGTAGTAGGTTGGTCAAAAGTTTGTCAAAATTTGTTGGCCAGCTATATTTGTTGGCTAGCCAGTGTTTTGGGCTTCTGAGATTATTACTCTACCATGTTTAGCTCGTGTCAACTTCCATTCTCTGATTTCCGCAAAGAGAGAGCAGGTTTTGCAGCATGCTCTGTTGCGTCAAGCTGGCATCATCCTAACAATGCCTAGGGTCTAAATTTTACTATTATCATTTTCTCAACAATGGATCCCACTTATAGCAAATATATGAAGGGGCTGAGGGCGATAGCAAATATGATTTGTCAAAACAGAAGCTATATTGTTGGATAGCTAGCCAAGGATTAGGGTTAGCATATACAATTACAGCAATCTGCATATGTTGTGTGTTGGATCAAGTGAAGATTATGAAAAAAAATTCTGCTAATCCGTGAGACCTGATCTCATAGAATTTTTTCCATATATATAGTTCGTTGTCCTGTCCATCTCAACCCTTCCATTCTCTCAACAGGTTTTCCAGCATGCTCTGTTACGTCAAGCTGTCGTCATCCTCAAGTCCGAGCTTAATAATTATCATTATTTTTCAGCAATAATGGATTCGACATCCTTGCAAATATATAAGAGGGCGGTAGCGAATTCAACCACGCCTTTTCCTTGCAATTATTATGTAGACATTACTCTATTAGTTCAACCATGCAAGAAGCTGTGTGTGCTTTTGTACTGATTTGTTCGTAGAGATTAGGTTACGTTCCTCTATTATGACATGTCACGTCATGTCGTCTTCAGAGTTATTTACCAAAAACCACCACAGTTGAGCCTTGGGTAACAACTTGATATCAAATTTGTGTCGGGGCACAAAAACTACCGAGACTACGCCTAACCTGTACCGCGTAGCACTGATTGTTGAATTTACTCACGAAAACAATAGTTCTGACCTATTGGGCCCACTTGTCGGGCTGACGTGACAAAGGCTAAAAAATTGGCCAACTGACGTGGCCAAAAAATGAGTTGCGGCCAGAGAATGGCGGCGTGCACTAGAAGGTCTTCTTTATATCAGTTTTTTGTTGGGGCATTCATTCGAGCACCTTCCGGGCGACCAGAGAGCTGCGGCCAGAGAACGGCGGCGTGCTTCCCGCATCCCGAGCCCTCACCTGCTTCCACCCGACGTCGCCATGGGTGCTCTGATCTACGGAAAGACAGAGATCATCGCCGCCCCCAAGTGTTGTGCATAGTCCCGAGCATCTCGATGAACTCCAACGGCACCATGGCGACATCCCTCGTGAGCGCGCCAGTGAGCAGGAGCGCGAGCAGCGCGGCAGGGCGCTTGGTGAGCTGCGCATCGGTGTCAGGCTGGAGAACACGACGAGGCCCTTGGTGAGCAGCGCGGCGAGACCCTCCGGCGTGGCGCGGCGTGGACCTGGCGTTGGCATCCGTTTTTGATCGTCGGGTCCGGGCGCGGCAGCCGAATGGCGTAGGCGAGGAGCTTCTTGTGTGCTCATGGGGCGAGTAGGAAAGGAGACAGAGGGGGAGTGGAGGTGGGGGATTAGTCTTCGCCACGTCAGCCAACAAGTGGGCCCAATATGTCAGAACGACTGTCTTCACGAGTAAATTCGACAATCAGTGCTCCGTGTTACAGATTAGGCGCAATTTTGATGGTTTTTTTTGCCCTGCACGAATCTGATACCAAGTTGTTACCCTAGTCTAAACTGTGATGATTTTGGCTAAATAACACTCACCTTCAGGTTCATGCGCAGTTTTTATCCTTTTGTTTGGCGGATTATGCTTTGATTTACGCTGACGTTCAGAGCAATCCTTTGTTTTGTTTTTTAATTAAGGGAATAATCCTTAACCTGCTTCTCCTCCGGCATGAGGATGGTTAGGGCGATGACGACGATGATAACAAAAACTAAATGGGCTGGACATTCAAAATGAAAAAAATGGATGGGCTGGAGCTAGTTGGTTGTAAAAGAGCAAACGGCCCATATTCTCCGGCATGGGCCTCTTCTGGGTTATTTTGCACGAAAGAATAGGTTATGTACGGTTTGACTGAAGCTTGCCTCCTTTCGATTTCCTTTGCTTTCTATTCTTCTGTTTTTGTTTCTGTGTTATTTATTTTCGTTTCGTTTCGTTTCGTTTCTTTTCCCTTTTCCCTTTTCCTTTTTCCCTTCTTTTTTAATCTTTTTTTCCTTTTTCGTGTATTATACAAGTTCATTGAGTGGTTATATACAAACATCCTCATTTTATATTTAAGGAAATGTTCGCCCTATATTAAGAAAAATTTGAAACTATTTTTAAAAAGGTTCATCATGTATTTTTTTCTAAAACTCCGCATACATAAAAAAATGTTCAATGTGTATATAAATATTGTTCAGCTTGTATCACAAAAATGTTCATCATGTATTTTAAAATTGTTCAGCATATATCACAAAAATGTTCAATGTGTATTTACAAAAAATGTTCAATGCATATTTAAATATTGTTCAGCATATATCACAAAAATGTTTAGCGTGTATTAAAATTTTCAGGGTATATTACAAAATTGTTTAATATATATTAAAAATTATTCACGTTTTAAAATTTTGTTCGAATTTCAAAATTTGGTTACAATTCCAAACATTATTCCTTTTTTAAAAAAAAGTGTTCACTATTTTTTAAACAAATAGTTGAAAATTTTGGATTTTTTTATCTGCCATTGCATTTAACTCCTAGATTTTTGGTCCCTAAAAATCGCTTAAACTCGGCAGCTTTAGTGGTAAGGAACATCAAGTCTTCTGCGAGTTTGATTCCCAGGAGCGCATTCTTTGGGTATTTTATGGTCGCTTTATAGCGCAACTGGATGGGCCAGCCTATTAGGATCGCCCATGTCTTGAAACTCTGCGAAAGCTCTGGCGTTTGACGCTCGCGGGCCTCGTACATGTGGTCTCAGTT